CTAGCCAACCCCCCGCCCCCATGTTGCAGTGCATGGTGTTGCAGTGTCAAATCACCAAATATGTTCGCTGCGCTGTGCGCATGCAGCAGTGCTTCTCACTTTTTTTTTTTTTTTTTTGCTGCTGCAACAGTCTGGGCCAGCAGCAGGTGCTCCGTCATCAGCTTTAGTGCAGCACTGGGACTTCATCCAAGTCGTATTGGTTGATGCACGTCAGCAGGCACCAAATATACTTCTCCTTTCCGGAAAAGCTGCCACCCCCTACTGATATACGCCCTGTCTGACAGTGATGCCATAAACACACAAGCAAGAGGATGGAGAGTAGGGTGGGCTTTTATTTGGTTTGCCTCACAGGCACGCAGCTCTTGGGTTGGACCGCCTGTGTCGCTGTCCATGGGTCTGCCATGACTGGACACGTGAAAACAGTGAAAGCTCGCGCTAACCAAAATGGTGGATGCACACCAATCGGCGCCCTGTGATTCTCCCATCATCAGTTTTTGTTTGTTATTCCACAGGTGCCATATTTGAGGAGAACGCCGTGAAGGATGACGAGATTTTCCAGCTGGCAATCTCAGACCTGAGTCTAAACGATGACATCTTGCAAAGCGAGAAGATCACGCACTCTGTCAAACTTATCGAGCCCAACAACCCTTTCCAGGCTTTGCAGGAAGGTAGGCACATGACTTTTTTTTTTTTGGGAATGTCCCTTTCAAAAAATGTTGCTGGATGACAGTGGAAGGAAGGGTTGTATGGTTGGAAGAAGACATTTTCAAAAAGGAAGGGAAACTGATGGAAGGAGGATATCAGAATTGGTAGTATGGAAGACAAATGTGTGGCGCAAGGAACGACGGGCCAATATCCGTAATTGTTGCAGGAAGGACGAATCATGGAAAGCTATAATGCAGTCAGGAAGCAATGAATGAATGGGCTTCCTCAGGAGCGAAAGGAAGTGTGGTAGAAGAATTCATGAAATGGGTTGCATGGAAAGTGAGGTGGGTTGAAGACGGAAGGTCAAAGGTTTGGGAAGAAGGAAGAGCGATGGAAAGAGAATGTGTAGAGGAAGAAAGGGAGGATGGGTAGGAGCCAGAAAGTTTGGAAGACAGAATGATGAAGGGAAAAAAAGCTTAAAGGGAAGGAGGGCGGCCTGAAGGCAAGGCAGACATTTTGGCAGGAAGGATGAGCAAAGGCTGAAAAAATGGAGGGATGGTGAGAAGCCAAGGAATAGGAAGGACGCTTCTCAGGGCTGAAATCTGAAGGTAAGGATGTGGTAGGAAGAAAGGAAGGATGGAAGGATAGAATGAAGACTAAAAGGGTGGTTGTAGGAAGGATGGAAGCAAGGCAGAAAATTTGGTTTGAGGAAGGAATCGGGAAATGAGTGAGGGATGATTTAAGGGAAGTGGAAGCTTGAAAAGAAAGTTGGAGAGGAAAATGAAGGAGCAGGGAAAAAAGGAAGACATGAAGGACAGTATTGAGACGATAGGAGGAGGAAAAGACCACAGAAGGATGGGGAAACAGGAAGAGGAATGTCAAGAGTAAAGATGATTGGATTGAAGGAAAGCAGAATTGATGGAAGGATTGAAGGAGAGGTAGACACAAATGATGGAGGGAAGGCAGAAACAGGAAAGTCAAAGGAAGCAAAAAGGAGGAAAAAGTCGGGAAGGGGTGCGAGGACGAGAGGAAGACTGGCATGAGCGAGTGAAGGAATAAAGGGAGGGCGGAAGGTGGCGGGCGGGCGGGCAGGAAGGAAGGGGAGAAAGTCTTCTTCCTGTTGCTGGCAGCGCTGCTGCTGTTTGCATCTCAGCATGTCAAAAGAAACAAGCATGTGTGTCTGTCTGTGCGCGCGAGGAAGCCGTCTCCTGGCAACAAACAGCCAGGTGGCAGCAGTGAGTCGCATCACATCACGGTAGCTTCACAGAAGCCCAAAATCCAAAAAGAGAAGAAAAATGTCTTTTGCTCTTGTCATGTGAGATCACCTTGTGCGGCTCTTTGTCATGCGCACGCGACGCGTCCAAACATGCCAAGGTGGCTTTCCTCCACTGCTGCGTGACAAGTGGCGCAGCCATGTTTGCAGTGGAAAGAATTCCTGCTTTACGTTGAGTCATTAAGTCTTTTAACAGCTTCCAGGGCACTTTCAAAGTCCCTGCGCCTCGTTTCGTGCGCCGGCTCGTCCCTTTTAGTCATTGCTATTTAATTCATGGTTGTCTCCATTCACAAAGCTGTGTTGTGCAAATGCTGAACACGCGGAACATCCGCTGTGAAAGTTTGCTGAATCAAAATCTACATGCTGCTGTCGCACTCGCTTTCGTTGTCAACATGCGCTAATAACATTCTCGCTTTTGACACAATTTAAATTAGTAGCGCAAGTGGCCTGAGTTGCTTGACAAGATTTAGTCGACAATCTCAACACATGTCACAACCGCAGCACACGAGCTATGCCCAAACTGTTGCGTTTTGTCACGTTGTCTTGTTGTTTTGGCAACACGTAGCGTCCAACTAGAACAGGAAGAGCAACTTAAATGATGAAGGGGGGGCCACCATTTTTCATCTGTACATGAGAACATGCAAACTCCACACAGGGAGGCCGGAGCTGGAATTGAACCTCTGCACTGTGAGGTCGACGCGCTAACCACTAGGCCACCGGGCCCGCCTATTACAGAATTGCCACTTTAAATATAGTCAAAATACGTGTGCGCACTCGTACTATATTCATTTTTGATAATTCATTTTTCAATGCATCTGTAAAAGGTCCAATACCAACTCAGGGTTTGCAGCAAACAAAATAACCAAGTTACCAAAAATGTACATTTGTTTGTTTGTCATTCTTTCGTGAGTCACGTTCATGTTGCTTTTTCTGAGTTGATTTGTTCAGTAGAGGTGACTGGCACAGATTTCACCCATTTTTTTTTTTTATCTGACTCATTTTTCCATTATTCACAAAGTTCCCCAAGTTTTGTGGAATCGTTTTATTAAAAGCGTGCCCGTTTGAAAATGTCAAAACGACGGTTTCGGAAAAAGAATAGTGCTGCGCGTTTGACTTCTGGGTCGTTGGCTACACCTCCTGTACATAAAGCGAGTCTTAATATAACTTGAAGCGAGTGCTGCAAAGACAATTTGTCAGGGATATTGATTCATGGCCCATTTCCTGTGATGACTCTCCCCATTGGTAGCTTTGATTGCCTATCCATCTTCATTACACTTCCAACTGTTTTGGAGTTAAAACGGCAGGAAATGACTGCAGTTGCTATGTTGAGGGGCGGTGTGGGGGGGGGTCATGGATGTGTACCCCATTCTCGCATTGGAGTTGAGTGACAAGCGGGGTACCTTGACCTTTGGCTTTGCTCTTTGGTCGGCCGCCCTCCCGCCGTGAGTGACAGTTGGGACCCCGTGGTGGCGAAGAGCGAGGGGAGGGTCTCTGAATGCCGATGAGATCATTGAGGAAGAGCGCGCCGGATGGCGACGAGTTGAATAAACATGAGTAGACATGGGAGTTAAGAAGGGCGCTGATGAGGAAAATGTGCTTGCCAAGTGAGGGGGAGGACTTGCAGCGTCATGTTTGTCCTCACGTGGCTTCCTCCTGTCCTTGCCTGCAAACTTTCAAGTCCTCTCGTGACCCGCAGGAGGATGACCAAACACACGCCGCGAAAACCGACAAAGTATTGCAGGGCAAACGGCCGTCGTGGCGACTGTCGCGAGGTGCAACGATGAGTTGACAAGGACTCGACTGTTGATAATCGATTCATGGTGTGGCACCGTTGTTTAACATAAATCCCCGGAATTTCAGCCTCTCAAGAGTAAATATGATACAATTTCTGTCACTGTTCAACACATTAGTCACTGATGCAAGTAAACAGATTTTTTTTTCATGGTGATTCCACATCAGGTTTCCATAAGAATTATATGTAACATTATATATATATA